GGGGAAAAGGTAGGGCGAAGGATAGAGAGAAAGTCCCCCTTTCCATGATAATCATCTCAGCACGTTGATCATATTTCAGGATTTTCGAGGGCCCGGTACCTTGCGTCATCACCACGGACTTGGAGCTTCTGAAAGAGGTGTTTATAAAGCGATTTAGCTCATTTCACGGAAGGAAGGTGAGCGATAATTTATTTATTTATTTATTTATTTATTTATTTATTTATTTATTTATTTATTTATTTTGAGAAAGAGAGAGAGAGAGAGAGAAGGCTCCGAATATGTTTTGGTGATTCGGAGGGCAAAAGGTGCCCTTAGTATAGTTTAGAACAACTAGTCAAAATTCTAATTTCAAGAGGAGAATATTGGTGTGATTATTTTTCAGAAACCGAAGGGGGGGGGGGGTCCTGACCCCCTCTTAATCTGCCACTGTTATTATTATTATTATTTTTATTATTATTATTATTATTATTATTATAACCAGTGAATACGTACCGTACATTAGCGTTGCTGTTTTGTGTCTATTGCAGTTTTTTCCCGTTCAGCCGGATCCTGACGACGCTCACGGCATCAGTATGGTCACGGCAGAAGGACCGCGCTGGAAAAGACTGCGCATGATCACCAACCCCACCTTCTCCGTGTCCAAGATGAAACAGGTGTGTATGTGTGTGTGTGTGCGTGTGCGTGTGAGAGAGAGAGTTGTTGTGTGTGTGTGTGTGTTTATGTGTGTTTATGTGTGTGTGTGTGCGCGCTTGTGCCTGTGTGTGTTTGCGTGAGAGAGAGAGAGAGAAAGAGAGAGAGAGAGAGAGAGTGCGTGTGTGCTCTGATGTGTAGTTATGCCCATACTGAGTAGTTTATGTGCGTGGGGAACATTTTTTGTCAATTTATGTGCGTGTGTGCGAATACATACTCCTGGTTGCTTTTAAGTGTGTGTGCATGTTGCACATATTGAACATGAGTGTGCGTGTACGTTTACTGCCGGGTGACAAGGACACGTGTACCGTAAGCCTTGAGGAGGAAGTCCATCATTATCGCATTTCACACAGAATTAATTTATAATTGATGTTATGAGTTAAATTGTGTTATGAATGAAGTTATAGGTATTAAGGTCGACGTGCATGTAAATCAGTTACTTTGACTCTGCCTTTCTACTACAATTTATTTAAAGCCCCTGTTACACTGAGATTGGAGAACGGTAATTTGTCCACGGGTTTTTATATTCCATGTAGATGTCGCCACTCATCAATGAAGCCGTGACGTCATTCTTAAAGACATGTGAAGAGAAAGCAAAAGAGGGAAAACCCTTCGATATCTACAAGTAGGTCTATGTGGATGCATTAAATGTATAGAATGGGAGATATCCTGTGCAATGCCTCATTGTTCTATAAACAGGATAAATATGTTTCAAGTACTAATAAAATGGCCACCCAAATTCTCAAAGGTTACCAAGTATCTCTTATCATCTGAGTGCCTCGTCAGTTTCTCAGCAGTGATCTCAAAGGGCACATTCAGAACAAGATAATCCACGGACTAACTAGTCCGCAGATCAAACATGGCGCCTCCCGTTTAAAAGCGTGTCAATATTTAATTGTCCTACCTCTGCTGTGAGAGGCGGTAATCCTTTGTCAAGTGTGCGCCATATTTGATCCGCTTACTAACTAGTCCTGAATGTGCCTGAAAATCCAGGGCCCAGTTTTATAAAGGACGTTTAGCACTAACCAGTGTTTAACTCTAACCAGACCTTAACAGTCTGTTAGTAAACTGACCTTTAAATAATTATTTAATCCAGTTAAACACTGGCCAGTTAACTGATTGGCTGTTTTCCGTTAGAAGACTGTATATAAAACACATTTTTACCATCTTTTAGTTAATGGGTGTTAGGGGAATTTATCCACTGGTTAGGCTTATCCACTGGTTAGTGCTAAACCTCCTTTATATAACTGGGCCCTGGGTGCTACAGGAAAGTTAATGGGGCAGCAAGATTTTACGCCAATGTTTAGCCGTGAATAATGTTTATTATCTCCCCAGGGAGTACCAAGGGTTGACGATGGAAGTCATTGCCTCATGCGCGTTTGGACTTCAAATCAACACAATCCACGACAAGGAACATCCGTTTCTTGTGGCCGGAAGAGATTTCTTCAACAAACTTGGGAAGGATTCGATGAAATTCTATATGATGATTCCTGGTAAGGAAGAGTCTCTCTCTATCTCTCTGATCCCGGTTCTTCTTAACGTTTAATAATTGTAAAATTGTAAGTTTTAAATGTTATTTTTCAACTTATATTTCGATATGTTAAGTGCCTTTCAGACGGTGGATCCGGGGACCGTTCTATTTACCACATGGACAAGTTACTGAATCTTAGTGTCTAGATTACACTTTTGTATAAATCTCTCTACTTGCATCGGAATTATTTCGTCATTTCTATTTCTTTATTTCATATGCTTCAATAAAATTGTACTTTTATTTTCTTGTGCATTTTATTTATTTATTTATTTATTTTAAATATATTTTTTCATTTGTTCAATTTTTATTTATTTATTTATTTTGTCTTTATTCATTCATTTATTTATTTATTCATTCATTTTATTTTATGTATGTATTTATTTATTTATTTATTTATTTATTTATTTATTATTATTATTATTATTATTATTATTATTTATTATATATATATATATATATATATATTTTTTTTTTTTTTTTTTTTTTTTTTTTTTTTTTTTTTTTTTTTTTTTTTTTTTTTTTTTTTTTTTTTTTTTTTTTTTTTTTTTTTTTTTTTTGCAGCCATATTCCCTATCCTGCGGCGGTTATTTTACGCTATGCTGTACATGGCGCAGTGTTACATGCCTAACGAACCGTCCGGTCGCTTACGAAAGTTCGCCAGGGAAACCATCCAGTTAAGGAAATCCGACCCAAAGGTATTAAAGCCGTTTATTTTTGTATAATGCTACTTCTTGATACATTTTACTGATAGATTTCGAATCATGGTTTCTGACGAGATCCACTATTCAAGAAAAAATAGACCCATTATACGCATCTTTTTCATGACACACGTATTTATTTAGTTATTAAATCAATGAATTATTTATTTATTTCTATTTCCATAGTACCGAAGAATGGACCTCCTCCAGCTGATGATCGACGCCACTCTGGCGGGTAACAAGGATCAAGTCAGCCGCTCTAACTCTAGTGAAAACGGTGAGCTCTCGTTTGGTGGCGCTAAGGAGCAGGAAGGGACCAACGGTATAGCTGGTGTTGATGGGGAGATGAACGGCGTCCAGGGTACGGCGGGAGATGTAGCTAATGGCACTGGGAATGTGAAGACCAGCCCGCAGAAGAGTGGATTGTCTAAAGAGGTGGGTGATTCTCTCTCTCTCCTTTAGGGTGTATATTTGTTCCTTTGGGCGTGCGCGCTCGCGCGTGCTTGAGTGCGGTTCTAAATTGCCCTCTTATCTCTTTTTCATCAAAAACCCCCGTTTCTAGTTGTAATTCAAGAGAAGTACATAAAAAATTAATATTGCAAAAAATTATTTTACTAGTTTGTGGTAACTTTTACATTTCACACCTGTTTCAGGAAATCGTTGAACAGTGCCTCGTGTTTATCATAGCTGGTTACGAGACCACCAGTACGGCGCTCGGATACTGCTCCCACGAACTAGCCTTGAACCCCGAAGTTCAGAAACGACTGCAGGCGGAAATAGACGAACAACTCGGCGATGAGGTGAGTAGAAGAAGTAGAAACGTATTATTATTTAGGCTATCTGTAAGTTGGTCTATTGATTGGCAAAAGTGTCAAAAGGTCTCGATAGGCATTTATTGATATTTATTTGATAAACTATATCACACGAGGCTTCACAAGTAGAGTCACTTTTATTAATGATCATGGCATGTGGCATTGCCAGAATTAAAATTATTTCCCTGTCTTCCATTCAGTTAAATCATGGAGGTTTGGGAACTCGACGATGCGTCATCGATGATAAGATATTTTAAATCAGACGATGCCGATTACATGTAATATTTTCTAAAGAAAAATGAAAATGCCACCTCCTGTATTTTTATTTATATAGTCATTCATTTACGAACTAGTACTGTAGCATTGTTTCTTAATATACAGAAATTATTGAAAAAAATATTGAAAAATTAAATTAAAAGATCGTCTACTCGTTGTTTGAAGGACCACATCAACTACGAGACTATCCAGAAGCTGCCGTACCTGGAGATGGTATTCTGTGAAGCACTGCGGCTGCATCCCATAGCAACCACGTAAGTAGCCAATCACAATCGATGTTCTAACTTTGATTAAAACGCTGCAGCATTTAAAAGAAGTTAAATTTGAGTGGTTTCCGTGCTCTGTTATAAAAATGACCATTTGACCGACCCTGTTGCCATCTGTCGACCCCGTCTGATAAGACCTAGCTGACCTTGTTTTAAACTTACAAAGAACCCTTTATGAATTTGGTCGTAATCAATATGTAACTGAACCGAAATCTTTTCAGCCTCTTCTAAATATTGTCTTTTCAAAATTATTGAGACGTTTCTCTCGATTTCGGTTTATTTATTTATTTATTTATTTATTTATTTATTTATTTATTTATTTATTCATCCATCCATTCGTTTATTTACATGATGAAGAACATCTCTAACCATCTGTATTTCAAATTAGTTTCATCAACCGCCGCTGTATGGAGCCGTGTACGGTGAATGGTCTCCATATTCCTGCTGGTCTCTCCGTGCAGGCAGACGTCCTGTCTATACACGCTGACCCGGAAGTCTGGGGGCCCACTGACCCGTCTGTGTTTGAACCTGAACGGTAGGGGGCGTCTGTGTGTGTGTGTGTGTGTGTGTGTGTGTGTGTGTGTGTGATTGCTTGTTTGTTTGTATATATTTGTGTGCATGTGCCTGTATTAAGTACTGTATGTATGTGTGCGTGTGATTGTGTGTGTGAGGTGCGTGAGTGTGCACGTGTTTTTTACTATAAAATCTTTCGTCAAGAACTTCAAAATTGAAAAAAAAAAAATCTTTTTAACCGAATTCCTTTATATGTAGGCCCTATTTGACTCAAAACTCCTCACTTTTTTTCGGAGCGATTTATTTACATGCGTGTTCCTGTTTAGTTTCAGCCCAGAAAACAAAGCCACCCGTCACCCCATGGCATGGCTCCCGTTCGGAGCAGGCCCCAGAAACTGCGTGGGCATGAGGTTCGCCATCTTGGAAGCTAAGATCGCTCTGGCAAGAGTTCTGAAACACTTCACCATCGAGCGCTGTGCCGAGACAGAGGTGCCGCTGAAGAAAGTAGAGCGCGCCACCACCGTCCCCATGAACGGAGTCACCGTGAAGCTGGTAAAAAGAGAGATTTGATTCGCTGAGATAATTTATATTTTTGAAACGAAGCATTTGATTTGATAGCGGAGTTGGCGATGTTGTGGGAAAAAGACATGTCGTTGGAACACAAAAAAGAGAGGTGCACTTTATCTACTTTATTGGCAGTGATTTCAGTCTCTGTAATAATCGTGAAACAGGGATTTTCAGTGGCTGAATTATTTAGGGAGCAACATGTATGTCACTATTTTTATTTGAGGAAGTCACGTGATGTAAATGACGTGTATTGACGTGGTTTGAATTATTAGATGGATAGAGATCAAGATTTAAGCACACTGCCAGAACGAGAATCCTCAAAATGCGCTAATTAACTGTTTATCAATGTTCTGAACAAAGTACTTTTTGGTTTTTCGTTTAATTATTGTTATTTATTCAGGTAGGCTACTTCTTTATTTTATATTGTACTGATGGAAATTAATTTTCAAAATACCCCGTATACTAGCAGATATTACTACATACATTCCTCTAACCGTATAGTCTCTATTGCCTGTATTATTTTGGTAGAATAGTTAGCGTCGTTCTCGTGGAATATACTATTGCACTATTTGTGTACAGTCGTATTAGTATATCATTAAGTCACTTACTTAAAGCCTAGCTATTATGCTACTGCATTAAAACACTCACTCACGCCGTTATTACTGATATCACATAAGCTAATTTTTATCCTTGTCACCCAACTGAGTGAAAATATCTGTACTTTTACCATAATGTATCAAAAATGTCTTATAAAATCTACACATATGGTATTAAGGTGTACAATTGTTGTGTTTAATATAAATATGACGTGTCTGATTGTATGAAATACTCGGTATAGCTGTAACGTTGGTTTCCTAGCATTATATTGTTTATTAACACGTGTTTTTTTTTTTTTTTTTTTTTTTTTTGCGAGTAAAATAAATTTTGTGCTTTACCCGGTGGTTTTCTTAAATATTGGTATTGGTATATTGAATTTATTGGTATGCGAGTGTAGAGCTTTAAGTGCGTCTTATCTTGGTTCACTGGATTAATCGGTGTGCAAGCCGCGTCATTTTACAAACTATCCCATAATATCAGAGGATATCGTCTGGTTACATGTAAAATTTACAAACAGATATGAGAATACACGATAGAAGTAAGCAGCTCATGCCCCTGGTAAAAAATGGGAAAACGATGCAAAGTGCAACCGATGAACGTGATGTCCAAGAAAAAAAAGGTGAAGTCTTAGAGCAAAATGTTAAAATGAGGATGTTACAGTATTAATCAATATCATCGTCATTGCGCCGTTGTTTTATTGTATTTTCTCAAAAAGGTTATTTTAAAAAAGAACTTAGAAATTCAGATAAAAGTATAGGGAATCAATAACCGAAATTAAGTGGTCGTGTTTAGTATACGGTGTTTTTGCCATACAATCACATCTATTTAAGTCATATTCGAAAAATGTTGCCACCGACGAGCACTAAAATTGGGCTCTTGTATATATCTGACATCCTGTTTTTCAAGATCACTTTTTCATAGATTCATCTTAAAGAATACGCGTTATTTTGAATATTTTGTTAATCTCTTAAGAGAGATTAAGATGACTTTTACACTAGTCTAGTAGGTCCACATGGAAATTACAATTTCTACAGTACAGTGTTAATAAGTTAACTGCCCCCTTATAGCTTTTAGTAGGCGGGACAGACATTTAAGCTGGCTAATCTGTCAGCAATCTAGTGAGACTACCCACGGGGATAGACCGATCTTAAATCTGTGGGAATGCAGTATTAGTCAGTCTGGGTCCCCATACCTAGACAAATCTAACAGGGTTACCCGCTAAATCCTTTTCAGCTTCAGCCGCTTATATGTCTGGCAAGCCTATTGAAGCTGTTAAACGATCATCAATTACCCTTAGAGAAGCCACTGATATCTTAGTCTTAGCGGGATCTGCAGTATTACTTTTTCTGGTGTCTGTTTCCATATGTCACTATAGGCTACATGCTCAGTTGTGGTAGTTGTGATCGGGCGCAATGGATGTCTCGGCACACCTGAGACAATCGGCACCCGACTAGAACGGTTGGATTATCTGAGTGTGTGTTGGCAATAGAAATGCTTGAGTTCTCTCTCTCTCTCTCGTATACACAATTATGCTTGAATTGGTGTGCGCGTGCGTGCGCACTGAAGTCGCGTACGTGCGTACTAAAAGTGTGTGCTGCACATTTTCGTCAAAACATCTTTCCTGGTTGGTTTTTAAAAAGAGTAGATATAAGAAAAATTCACATTGTAAAATTTTATTTGACAACCGTGATATTTTTCTCTCTCCCCTATTTACAACGTCACTTTCAAATGTTGTAAATAACAAAGTAGCTTTCAAAGATAATGTTTGCCAGGAGCTGCGTAAAAACTGAAAACAAAGTGAATCATTTTAGAAAATGTAGAGCTGTCATCATGATGTTGCATAATTTAAAATTTCCTGGTTGTCTTACGGTGGTTTGGCTTGTACTTATTTAAAAGTTAGAACCATAAATTCCTGGAAAAGGCAAAGGAATGTGAAAGTCCCAAGGAAACGTATGAAAGCTTTGGTAACGTTTAAGATACATTAATTGAATAAAATGAAAATACTGATCGAGTTAGCTGGCACTTTGAGCAAATTCTGGTCTCTCCATTCTTATCAAGTACAGCTATCGATCTTCTAACAACCGTTTCACATTGAGCAATATTTCGCCAAACTGAACAGATTTTTAAGCCAAGTAAACACAGCACAGTGGTACAATGCATCACTAGATAATAAGTAAAACATGCATAACAAAAATATCACACAGCCTGATGTTCCCACGGCCCATTTTTTCTTTGAGCTAACTGGGTCACGTACAGGCAGTTCTAATCGCCTGCAATATTCATAAAATTGCGGTGAACATTGTAAACACGCCCAGAAATGGCGTGACTTGGTCTGATGTTCATTAAGGCCTGACGTCAGCGCCTTTCACAGGCGCGTTCACACTAGGTTGGTAATTGGCGTCTGGAGCGTTTAAAAGTCCTTCCGTCACGCGCTTTGCTAGCTTAACGTCGCATAGAACAGTGGTACAGCAAATATCGGTGTCAAGAGATTTTTTTTATTAATATCATTATCTTAAGTCAATTTTAGACTCCTGTCAAATGCACGGTTATTTCTACGTCACTGCGTCAGGAAGTGGCGATGATCGGATGAAAAAGCGTCAATCACCCGTGAAAAACCGCGCTAACGGAAAACCAATCAAAATAATTTGGACTTTTTTTGTTTGATTTCATTCTAGGAATAGATCCCTCGATGTGTAACCAAGTGCCCTTCTTGTTCAGAGATAATTGTACATGCACCGAACGCTATCTCTATGCCCTCGTGGAACCCCACCTCACTGTTTGTTAAAGGTGTGTGTAACCGCAATACTTCTGTGTGTACGTATATCACGACCCAGGCGGTTGCCTCACCCTGAATTGTACTGCATCTCGCTACAGACACCCTGAGAATCCAGAGGAAAGGGGATTCCTTTTGCGTTCCGCGTAATTGGCCTTCTTTTTCGAGCGTGATGCATTATTTGAGTCCAATATTCAGCGTAAATATGACTTTCTTTTCGTTCGGATAAGATTTGACTCTGATTCAGGAATTCGATACTCTTAATATGACTTTCTTTTCGTTCGAATAAGATTTGACCCTGATTCAGGAATTCTTGGTGATTGGTGACTGGCCTGAATATATATCTGTGATTGGTAATTGAGCTGTTTTAATCTTGGTGATTGGTAATTGAGGGGTATTCCCTACCCTCGTTCAAGGGGCGTATCACAAACCGCCCTCTGTAAAACCCCAGTGAGCCTGGGAGGCGTCTTGGACGTGTTTCTCTGGGTGCCCGAGAGCGCAGGAAACGACTGAGCCGCCAAGGTCTGCTTTATTCTAATCACTTTTTGTAATGTTTCTAACAGGAATTCAGTTTTATGTGCTATTGTACTTTATTGGACATATTACCAGCAAACTTTAACTTTCTTCACTTGCCATTAGATGTTTTAAAAAAAAGCTACCGGCGTATTTGTTTGGTTTTCTATGCTATTTTCCGGGTAAAAGCAAGGGTTTCGAATGATAAGCGCCTGTACTTGATTGACAGGCTTTGATAAGGATGCTAGAATCATAAGGGCATGTACTTGATTTCGTTAGAATGCAGGAGTCATAACTGCTTGTATCCTACTCGATTTAGTCATTTACTCGGCACGCTTTCAAGAAACTTAGGTATCGATATGACAGTGCCTTATAATGTTGATCAGTTTTTGCGGAAATCCGTTAACTATTTGGTGAGGCAAATCGATACTCTTAATATGACTTTCTTTTCGCTCGGATAAGATTTGACCCCGTGACCTAACACGTGACATCGCACGATGATCAGTTCACTTTTTGAAGGATGTCATGATGGAACGATGGGCTAACTTCCTCTTCCTTATCTTGTGTTAAAACTAAACATTCTTCTTCCTTGTTGTAACGATTATCAGGATTACAGAGCATAAAAAAAAACAATGTAATTAGGACCAAGATAGAATCTAGTGATGATTTATCATAACAACCGCGTTGATCTTGTTTTAGCAATTGATTTTTGAAACTGAAATACATCTATAAAGTTCAAATAATAATGTATTCAACAGTCCCCTAAGGAGTCGGATATATATGCCAAAAGCTTGGGCGTTTTAATCTAGTTTTACCTAGTTGATCTTAATGGACGCATTTTAGCTAAAGGTACTCTTAGTGGGTTTGAAAACCCCCCAAATGCTTATTTCTGAGATCCACAGCTGCTTCCACTGTATTAAAGCTTACATTACGTACGTTTTAAAAATGATTTAATCCCTTGAATGCACAAGTGCGATATACAAGTTTCACAATTAACTGATATTTCTTTCTTTTTTTTAAACCTTGCATTTAAGTTATTTTGTTTTAAATTTGTTTACATATGTCTTTTAATATTCCTTTATTCGTATTACTAGTGGTATTATTCAACTACGACGCAATGATTGTAATTATCCAACCCTTGGGTTGCCAGTTTGTTAATAATAATATTTTTAATAATAAAAATGATATTTTTTCTGGAGCGTACCTGATGTTGATATTTCAATTGAAGCTTAAAAAGATAATCGCTGGTAAAATTGACTGGCCACTCATTTTAAACTAAATCAGCCTTTATAAATCTAATTGAAGGTTGAATCCAAGTACAGAGAGGGATATATAAATGATTTGTGAGTACGAGAAAATTGCTTATTTATCCGGGAAATCCATTTTAGCGGGTAAATCCCATGGAGTGTCCTATGCAGGATATAATCTGGCGATGCAGTCACGACCAGGGTGGCCGCGGTCTGTTTCTGTTATGGCGGCTTAAATGGAAAACAATTGGTGCAATCTTGTCACACCCGCGGCGTCTATTCCCCTACCATTTGGTTGATCCTTTGCCAAAATAAGAAAGCAACATGAGTTTGTTCTTTTTTCTTTTGTTATGATTTAAAGGGAGATAAAAAACAGTATATTAAAATACATTCAAAAATGAAAGAAAGAAAAAAAAAAACTGTTTCAAGTCTATCGTTCGTCGGACCGAGCTGACGTTTACCGAATTGACAAACACAAAAGTGATTATACCTTTAAAAAAGACGAAAGCAAAATAATTTGTATTTCTATCGTCAAGCCACTGCAGTGAGCGGATAAGCCAATATATCGCATGTTCCTAAAGGCAACCAACGCCGCGGGAACCTCCTTGTTGTTGTGGCGTTAGATAAAGTGGTGTTTTGTTAGTGCAACCCTTTCCATTTGATAAGGCAAATGATTTTACTACAGCAAACATCATATGAGGGGTTTTATACACTTCTGAGAACAATGAAAGAATAAATCAATAGATCATATAATTAAGTGGGAAAATATATAAACAAATAAGCAAAGAAATCAATAATCAAAATATGAAAGAAAGCAAATACATAAATAAGTAGTTGAGTAAATAAAATGTTGGAACTCGAGAGCAGATCTAGATTAAAAAAGCAAACAAACAAACAAACAAACAAACAAACAAAATGAATGAAATAAATAAAGAAGCAGAGCTCTTTTGCTGGCTTCCCCTGCAAAACTTTGTCTTATTTAACGTTCACTTACGATTCTCAATATATTCTAGAACATTTGGCGAATTTTTTAAGTTCTAATGTTGTTATGTAATAAATGTAACAGTTTGAGAAATATTTTGGGACCGACCCGGGTTACAAAATCCTTCAGAATGTCCTAGAACAGATTAAGAGCATTTTTCATTAAACGGGAAAAACATTATGTTCTAGGACAGACTGAGAACCGTAAGTGAGCGTGAAATGAGACAAATTTTCGCAGGGGAATTAACTAGCTAAAATATCGTTGGATTGATGCGTGCAGCGCCCCAGTATTTAACAACAAACACGTCTCACTTTATGATTCGATCTGAGAGAATGGCCTGACTGGGAAGATCAGGCCACTGCTTGAAGAGATAAAATCATTAGAAGATGGGTAAAAATAGTGTCTGCGAGCTCGGCTGTTGACTATTATGTCTATTGATTTTGTCTGGAGGCAAGTGTGCTGTGTTCTGAGGTAATCACGTTTGCATGCACTGGAATAATGCAGCATAACTGTGAATACGAGAGAGAAAGAGAGAGAGTAAAACAAATTAAGAGGGGAAAAGAAAAAATATATGAATTATTTAAAATCAATAAAAGGATGGTGGCATAAATCACAAATCTCTCCAACACCGTCCAGGTGAGGGAGGCTCATCAGGAATGAAGTTGTGTATACTAAATCAAAACAGCCAGAAAAAAAAAATTAGTCAAGAAAAATAACATTGCGTACTAAAAATACCAAGTGAGCCAGTCACGTCCGTCGCTCGCACTGAGTCAGACTTGCCTGTAACAGCTTCCCGCGCACTTGGACTCGCCTCTCCACCCGTTCGCGCACTTGTGCCGATATAAATATTGACCCCATAGTGCGCGCCCGTGTGTCTGACATTTACCGAGGATCAGGCCATTTTACCCTGAATATCATATTACTATTACCTGCTCTTTAACAACACGGCCAGGTTTTCTCTTCTCTCATGTCTGACACAACCCTTGTGCTGGTTATGCAAGCGACTAAATGTTTCTTGTTACATAATTATTATAAAATATATATCAGGTTTCTTACGCATACCTTGGTTACATGAGCTGGATTATCATAGTTATAGTTGTCAGATACAAAACGTCAGTATACGGACCGTAGCCAGGAGATTGTTACTCGTTGCCATGGAGATATTGTACAGACAGGTATACTTTTCACTTACCTGGAAACATTGTCTCTTTGTCTACCTGTGCATGCATGAGATTACAGTGTGGAATAAGTCATATAAAAAATTAGCGCGATTTCAATTTGTGTTTTTTTATGTTTGATGTTGCTCTTCCCGTTCGATCCACATACGCACATATAGTTTAATTAAGGTACATGTAGCTCATACAAGACTTCAGACAGCGTCAGAAAAGTAAGCGTGTCTCCCAGGGTGGCAAATCCCAAGAAAATGTCTACTAGTGGCGGGAATGTGTAGTGTTAGTTACTGGCACGGTGAGTTCGCCAGGAATTCTTGGGCGTACACTGGGAACACGAAATATGGGGAGAGATGTATGTTTTCACTGGCTGTTAACCATTCAGTTTACTTATTAATTTTTATTTCATACTTTTTGTGAGCGTATCTAGTGTTTTATTGGTTTTATTGATTTTAATGATACACAAGTTTATATGATGTTATCGGTTGCATGATTGCGCTAACAATTACAAAAAAAAGTGTATTTGATAATTAACATAAATTTATTTTAAGTCTAAAATCCATTTTAAAAATGTTCATTAGACTTAACATAAAAATTCGTACTTAAAGCACAATAACCAAGATATGTAACAAAAATATTAGGAAAGATTAAGATTCTTGGTTAACAAAACGGCCTAATTTTTAACTAAAAACCAAATTACAAATAAAATGATAAATAAAAACAGCTTAATTCTTACAAAAAATTAATTACAATAAAAAATCAATAGTGAAATTTCTTTATATGTTTTTAACTCACTGCAAAAATTATCCAGCTGCCGCCCTTTTTACAGTGAGGTTCTCCACATACTATATGCATATTTTGTAATTCAAATATGATTTTTATCCTTTTCTTTTTATTAATTATATTTTATTGTTTTTAATCTACCATCAGAATTGAGCGCGATTTACAGCAATAACATTGACAGTGGATAACGAACTTTTGCCGTGTCAAATTATTATAATCTTGTATTTGTATTTTAAACTTAGAAAAAAACAATGCAACAAATGTGATTTCCTCACTCACACTCTCATTCTGTGCAGTTAAATTAACTGTTTCTGATATAGATTTGTTTAAAACTTATTTCATGTGAAATACGACAGGATGACTAACATAAACATATCTCATTCTACACCCGGTAGATCAGTAAGCCAACTACACGGCACACACGTGTGGCAGATCTTTATCGTTTGTTGTGCTCCAGTTGCAGCAAAGTGCCCGAACTTTCTCTCCCTTCTGTAGAAGTGAGGGTGTGAGTGCAGCTTGGAATTTACCGTGAAATGAACAACGACTCTGACCTCATTCCGCACGGCGTCTGTTACCCAATAAAAACAGCAGAGGGTTCTCAACTGCGCATGCTCACTGAAATGGATCACATTCTCTCAATGGTGAAAACGACAACTAGGTCGCACAAGCCGAGGAACGGAAGAAATGGATTTGGTTGCTAACTCAGTGGGAGTGACCTTATAATCGGAAACTACGATACGTTTGACCTCCGAGAGGAAAACTTAATACGGGGATACACGCCGGGTTTTTTCCAGTCACTGTGCTTTTTATCAGTGTTTTGTAGAAAAACGTTTACTTGTACTCGAACAACGAGATCACTTCGTCCTCGTTTCCCGGAGTGCAGTTAATAGTTCTAGAAGTCCGGAGAATCCTTCTAGCGCATCGATATTTCCACCGGGAGAAAAAGAATCAGCAGATTTCTTAAGGCGTTTACATCTCAAAGTAAATATATTCACCACTCCAAGGAATTTCTCTCCTGGAAATCTTTAACCAGCATTTTACTAGAAATCAAAGACAATATTTCAAAGAAGTTGTGCGTATTCTGGCAGGAACTAGTCGTGAAAGAAATAGTTTGACATTTTCTGGTAGATTCCACCGTCTTTTTCTTAACAGAACGAAAGTGGGCAATTAAGGACAACTCTTTCAAATTTTGCCAGCGTGGTTTTAAGGTCTTTAATAAGTCTCATTGGACTTAACGTTTACATATTTCCCCCCAGTCGTCCGTCTCAAGTATTTTGGCCGGTAGAAGTTTGCGGTTGTTTACCACGCTGAACTTTTTGATTGTTTCACCACGTGTGTAAAGAGTAGCTAACGTTTGTAAGAATGCAGGCAGAGTCATAGACAGACTCATAGTAGGAGTGAGATCGAGGGAGTGGCGGCGGCTACAACACGGCAGATGAATTATTCCCTTTCACAATAGCAGGTCGTAAAGACAGAACAACACAGGAGGAAAATTTATTTCCCATCTGGACTTGGGGTATTTTTTTAAGGAATCTGAAGCCTGTTTTTGAGTTTTACGGACTCCGCGGTCTTCTCGTTCTTGGAAAATTAGTGTGGCTGTCGCGGCTTGACCACCGGCGAGTGACTTACAAGAGGACATTACTGAGAAGAAAAATCCAGATTTTCTTCTCTCGGGCACAAATACAGCATCATCGAGTCCACGCGGTCAGTGAGCGCTCCCCATTTAATCCCGGTAGATATCCTGACGTCAGAGTTAACCTAACGGTCAAACCAGGTCCCTGGACCGGTCATATACTGTAGTAACCAGCCAAAGTGACACCTTGGGTAGTGACCTTAAGTTCCCTGGGGGATTTTAACCCGTCTACTGGTATTCCATACGTCCCCGGAGCCACCGTTCACCTTCTCGGTCACGCCGACCTTCCCGGAGCTTGACCTGAGATTTCCTCAAGGGACAGAGCGCTGATCTTCACCTCGTCTTACCGTCTGTCTCGCCATGCCTCCACGACCACCGGAAAAATCCAACAACACCATCACCGAGGTTAGTACTGCTACTGTAGTGTAAAGAGCCTGTAGTCTGGCTTGTACAGTGTACTGTTATATGTGTGTGTGTGTATGTATGTTTGTGTGTGTGTATGTATGTATGTATGGGGCAGTGTGCCCAGTTTTTATCGGATTTGATTCATTAGATCGTCTCAGACTGGGAAAGCTTCAATAATATATAATATAGCCACTGAGATCGCACTTATTAATTTACACACACTGAATGAAGTAGGCCGTCACTTCAGGTGAACTATCATTATTATGTGGAAGTGGAATAATACAAAATAGCGTCCTTGTTAAAGTTGCTTAAATCTCTGTATTAATCACAGTATACTTAATGATAAAAAACACATTGATGACGCAATGTATGTAGTCACTGGTAATTCTACCACGTGCGAGCAATGAGTCTATCTCCATACAGACTACATATGAACCAGGTGTATGAGTCCCCCATACCGTACTATCTGCCCAGAATTCCTATCCTTTGACTAGCGGCTGCCAGCACCCTCTGAGACTCTCTCACGCGGATGAACGCCTTGATACTTGCCTAGGAATGTGTTCAGATAGCCGTCAGCTGAAGACGCTGTATAAAATAACCATTAAGTACATCTACATGTATCTCTGGCACTGACAACAACCTTTGTACATCTATTACATTTTCCCATAACTCAGGAATGCAATATTACGTTCATTATTATAAACAAAGGATGCGGAGGAAAGTTTACAATATTAATATAACAATATTAAGTTAACAATATTGATATAAACCATGATATAAAATGATTTATTATAAGATAAAATGCAAAGATAGTGCTAAATGCGGACTTGGATACTTTAGCAGTGTATAGACATATATACATTTTATTGCATCTTTCCGGAAGACACTTTAACTATTATATTGGAAGAACTGGAATCTTCTATAAATATTTTATCCTATCATCACATTGTTGCATGATGTAGGTTAATGTCTATGAAATGTGATCGTACACGGCATAGCAGGCAGCCGAGGGGTAAAGATACGGGAACATTGCTTCCCAGCTAACTTGTATAACGCAGTGGTATTCACTTGCCCGGACGCCGCTTACAACACAAACCCTCAGGTGAATTCTTGTCAGGTGCAACATATTTCTCTCACAACCTTGGCTTCGAAATGGCGTCTTTGTGGCTTCATTCTATTCTGTGTTTGGTCTTTGTCTTAATAGCTTCTGTCATTTTCTTAAAGGCACTGTCTTCTATCAGCGTCTACATAATATATGGATGCTTGCGGGTTTGTATCGGATTCGGTCTCAATGCTATTCCATAGGGTGAGAAAAGGTGCCGGTTAAGGTTGCTAAGCACGCCAAATGATCTATGTGTTTCGGTCTAATTACTGACATTGTTTCACGTCACTCGCTGCATGTATCTAGATCCAAGATCAACCGAGAAATGCTTTCTTACTAGGGGCAAAAGTTTACATTAATTTTGCAGTGTTGAGAACTTTAAAATGTGATTTGAAGATAAAATACATGTATATACTGAATCAAATGGACTAAAATACGGGCGCCAGAAGCTCGGAAATATTTAGAAGCGACAACAGTGAAGACTTGCTGCAAATTGGAATTTTTAACAATATTTTTTTCAAAGAAATGGCGGCAAAGCGCTAAAAGCATTAGATGCTCTCCATGTAGAACAAAATTAAATAAGTAAATAAATGTGAAATGCCATTTGAACACGGAGAACTATCCAAGTTTTCATACGTCTATAGCCGCCCTACATCTCTACATTTACAAACACATAGCCGACTAAAACAACCCACATTTCTCCATTCACACACACACACAAACACACGCACACACACACACATAGCCGTCTATAACAGCCCACATTTCTCCATTCACACACATAGTAAGGGCACCAACCCCATTTGTTCTAAGAATGCGGGCCAAACACGGGTCAGGCTCCCTTTACTACCGGGTTGAACTTACACCTGACGAACTATTCATTAACCCCAGTGATTTACGACGTCAGGTATGCCGTATGTGGTTTGTAATTGACGAATACCGCAGGGCTGTGTGTGAGACAGGGTGAGGGTGAGGGTTATGTTGTTACCTTTTCAGGTATATTTACAATACAATTGTCTATAATCAAAGACTTACAGTTGACAACTATGTGGATAGATGACTTACGTTATATAACTGTGTCAGTGTTCATATGTATGTACAATAATAGATTTACCCTCCCAACGCTTTTGATCTTTTCTGCCTAACCTTTACTTGTAATCCTCCCCCAACACACACACACACACTTACACACAAATACACACGTACACATGCGCACACACACACACATTCTAATACACGCACACTAACACAAACACACACGCACACACACACACGCACACACACACACACACATTCTAATACATACGCACTAACACAAACACACGTACACACACTCTCACACACACACACACTTTCCCAGCCTCCCCAGACAGCAGACGTCTGGTATAGTGTTACTCGGAGCGAGACTGCCATCAATAATAATAATCTCCGCAATTAGGGGAATAAATCAATACATGGCCCCGGAGACCCCCCTAAACGATATACTCTGAGCTGGCACGCCAGTGGGTTCTTTAAAACGCTGCCAATATAACACGGACGTGAATTCAAAACACGCACAGTTCAGATTTTTTAAAGGATTATACGGAACGTGCACGCACACGAACGCACACAACGGCGTATAGGCTAGCTTAGACAAAATGTGTTAATGTATTAGCAGCCGAGCACAGAGAGTCGGGATATTGCTAGTGTTTTATTGGTCGACAAATTGGTCGAGGTAGAACCTTTGGAGCGTTTGTGAACTTTACTCACATATTTCACTGGCCAGAAGACTGTTATGATATGATAGCTGGAGACTGCAGAAACTGTACCTTCTCAGAACTTCAGCAACCCAAACAAAAGGAGATATTATGATGTTAAAATAGTACAGCACACTTGACGTGTTGGGGGTTAGATTGCACTTACTCAACATAGTGACATTATGTATATAGCTTTTGAGTGTATACAAAAATGCACCGAATGTCAGAACCCAATTTGTACGTTAATCAAAGGCCTTTTTTAAGCTCGGTCTTTTTTAAGCCACCATATACGATTAATAGTCTTCACTTTCCCATTATATTTTTCCAACCTACAAGATATGTTATGAATTTAACTTTCTGCATCTAGTATGGCATAACGTTTTTTCTGTCTGCGTGTAAATTTCCACTCACACCGACGTTACAGAGCTTTAGAGAAGTTAAACCTGGTCTAAGTGACGTCATCAGTCGTCAGCCCAGCACATATCCACCTGCTCATCAATTCTTATGATGTAGGTGGCGACGCTGGTCTATCTTCTACGCATGGGTATTGCGACGGTCTCGTTTCTTTTTTACACATTTTAATAGGAGTACAATGAACACATGAGAATGTTATAAAATGCGTTAAATTTGCAATTGTTCTATGCCAGAGATTGTCTCGTGCTGACGGTGCTACCACTTACAGCTAGAAATACGGCACAACTTTTACACACATTAATTTCTATTCCTGCCACAAAGGTATGCTAAGAGACAGGGCAAACTTGTTGCACCTTGTAACCGTAAAAACTGTGCCTTGAACCTCCTGTGTACGACTGGTATATATATATCTTTGCTATCACGACAATACTCTTCAGTTAGTGGGTGCGGCGAATTGCCCCAATTTTGCAACAATTTCAGATTTTTATCCGCAGTCGGAGGGCATGTTTTAAAGATTTAAATAGAATGAATTCTTTATTTATGGTTATCGTTCGTTGGGAAACAAAGGAACTTTAAGCGGTTCGAATTTTCTGAAAATTCATAATTTTCTTCTTGCTTTTCTAAGAAAAAGACCATTTTGTCGGTAATTGAGTAGAGATGTCATTTGAAGTGGTCTGCCTCTGCAGGACGCCACATGACGGATGACCCTTTGTTTCAAATTATTTGAATTTTTTGTCAGGATGCGCTCCTAAACATATGTGTGTGTGTGTGTGTTTGTGTGTGTGTGTGTGTGTGTTTGTGAGAGAGAGAGAGAGTGAAAGAGGAGTGTGCCTGTGTGAGAGAGAGTGTTTGTGTGAGAGAGTTATCTCAAAGGTTCATGTCGGTTTAATTTCTCACTGAACTAAAATGTTTTACATAATGATGTAGAATGCCTACAAACAAACCCTCAGAACATGACCTCGCATAGATAACGTCTGCAGTGCTATCATACACGACGAACACCGGAGACAGATGAATAATCAAATTGATTATTATACAAAACTGACCGGTTATTGAACCTTACACGTGCACAAACAATTGACCGATCGCCTCGTGCATTTGTTTTATTTTCTGACTTCCTTACCCAGCTAATCGGGAAAGAAATGTGTGTTCATTTTAGCATAGAAAGAAGGAGTCCTTGAGGATTTGTTCCCGATTTTTGCCATATGTGCTCTTTATTCAGTATTATTTACACGGCTGATACGTGATCTCCTAACGTATAAAAACATATGTTACTTATAGTAGCAATGTTTTTGGGAGTTTTTTCGTTTCACGGTAGTGTCACACTGAAGGCTTTTAGGTGCCTAAGTGAAAGTAATGAAAACTATGTGCGCATTTTTTCTTTGTTGAAGTTACTTGGTGACCTTACATATTTCTTTCGCAACCGTAATCAGTTCATTTTTTACCAAAAGTCATTTGTCCGTGCGTTCTTCGATCGTGCTTTTTTTCCAATTTCAGAACTCGATCATCTTTTTGTCCGGTGGGAAGCATAATATTTTCTTGTGCAACAACATTTGCGACTCATAGACAGTCACCATGTGTGTGCTTTAAAGATCATTTGGACTATAGAGAATTACAATAGAGAGTTACATTTGATTTAAATTGATATATTATATTCATTTGTTCACTTACTTTGACTAACATGAAATTAGCGCTGTTCTATTTCATTCCTTCATTTTATTTCGTGATTATCTTAACAGCATATTTTT